CAAAGTACGTGGCTGGTGGGGCCGGGGCAGAGGGTGACGGTTCCTGGCTGGACGAGGAGAGAGGGTTCGTTCTCTCTCCGTCGCGTCTTTAACATTTGCGTTTCACTTGCCGGTAGTGTTGTGCACGTTCAAGTTGGCCTACATCTTCTACAACCAGAACCTTCACGAGGAGGCCAGCTCTGTCTGCGAGCTCTTCTGCAAGAGGCTGCAGACAGCAGATGCCTACGCCTGTCCAGAGATCCCCCCGGAGAGGGTAAGCGCTTGTCTGATGCTTCTGGCAGGAATGGGGCTGAGCTGAATGGCCTGATCCCGGTGCCAGGGGAGCAAAGGAGAGGACGGGACCAGCTTTTGCCCCTGGAACAACCCCAGTTCCCTGCTCTGAGGTCTTCCCTTCGCACAGGCGGGAAAGGGGGCTGTGGTACGGGACGTGGGAGGCAGGGATTTTGCTCCCACGTAGCGCTGAGGCCGGTTCTCTGCGCTCTCCCCGCAGCTGCACAAATGCTTCAGGCTGCAGGTGGAAAGCTACCGCAAGCTGGGGCAGCTGGAGAGAGCCCTGGCGTGTGTGGTGCAGTGGCTGGGAGGGGCGGCCGGCCGCGCCCCCGGGGTCCGGGAGCTGCTGGCAGAGCCCGTCTCCCTCTGGGTCAGAGTCAAAATGGATGCTGCGAAACAGGGGGCTGAGGAGTTACGGTTACGGTAAGACCTGGAAGGCTGACCGGTGCGTTGGGGGGTGGATATCTGGAGAGCTGTGGTTCCCAAGCTGGTAAAATGAGGACATGTCTCCCTGCGAGACGTGCCCGGCTGCTCTGCTCTGCGCAGAGCCCCCCTACAGCTCCCGCTTCCCCCAGGACCCTGAAGGAAGGCTTGGAGGGGCACAGCCTGGACATGGACACCGTGGTGACTGTCCTCTTTGCCGAGTTGAAGGCCTACAAGACCATCCGAGCCGACACGGGGCAGGAACGCTACAACGTCCTCTGTGACCTGCTGGAGATCTGCTCGGAGGAGAGCGGCCGCCTGCATGAGCGAGCTATCGGCTTGACGGAGCTGGCCCAGGTCTTGTGCTACCACAGCTATGCCCAGCAGACGGACTGGTGGGTGGACACAGCGTGCCGGCATCACCTCCTTGTGTCCCTGAAAGTCCCCAAGGAGTATTTGAGGGTCCTCGGGGAGTTTAAGGGTCTGGAGTGTTTTATTGCTGTGGCTGTTTGCTTTGTTTGGGGTCTTGGGGTGTATTTATCCCTCCCCTTAAAATGCTCCAGGGGTTTTGGGGTCAAAGGCTGTTTCTAATCCTTCTCTCTGGCAGCTCCTCCCTGGACTCGGTCCGTGAAGCCTTGCGGCTGCTGGAGTTGGTGCCCAGGAGCGCCCAGAACCGGGACCAGCTCCTCGATGACCAGGCGCAGGCTCTGCTCTGGCTCTACATCTGCACCCTGGAGTCCAAGCTGGAGAAGGTGGGTGGGGGTGGCAGAGGAGGGCTGGGGGATGCCAAAATGGGTCCCGATCTGGAAACGCCGTGGGGCTCCGTGCACGTGTGGGGTGCTGCCCTCAGCCTTGCTAGCAATGCTCAGCTCTGCACTGGGGTCACTAAAAGCTGCTCAGACCCTGCTGGAAACCCTGTGGTGCCTCTTAACGTGTGTTGCTGCTGCCTTCTACCCCGCTGCAGAGCATAGAGAGGGACCAGAGAGCCAAAGCTCAGGGGCTGAAGAACCTGGATGACTTTGAGCCCAACGACCTCAACTACGAAGGCAGGCTGCTGGAGGACAGGTTCCTGTACGATGGCATCTCCTTCAACCTGGCCACAGAGACCGGTGAGGGTGCTGGCGGGTTTGGGCCCTTCCTGAAGAGGCTCTGGGAGTGCCCGGTTTTGGGTCAGGGTGTCTCAGACCCGTGGTGCGTCCTCAGCTCTGGCCAAAAGCCTGGATGACGCCTTCGCCTTGTGGAAGCAGCTCCTGGCGATGCCGGGCGTCCCAGCTGTGCGCAGCCCTGAGCAGACTGTAGCCTCCCTGCACCTCCTGGCAGCTCTCTACAAGCTGATGGCCAAGGTAACGCTGCTGGGGAGGTGGCGGGCGGGTCGGCAGCCTCCCCAAGGCACACAGAGTCCCTCTGGAGCCATCTGTGAGCGTAACCGCGGGGGTTTTCCTGCCCCCAGCCCTTGCAAGCCATGGAGAGCTACCTCCTGGTCAGAGCCCTGTGCAGCGCGCTCGGGGACAGCCTGGGCATGGCCGGAGCCCTGTGCCAGGTCACCAAGCTGCTTTTCCAGCTGGAGTGCCCCAGCTATGCCCAGGTAAGTCTGGCAGGGAGGGAAGGGGCCGCAGGGCGAGCTCGGCCGATCCCCGAGGCTGCAGCCCTCACGCTGGCGCGTTTGTTTCCAGCTTTTCCTGGAGGAGACGGAGTCCTGCCTGCAGAAAGCCGACAGCAGCAACGATTCCTACCTGCTGCTGCAGCAAACCTGCCTCCTGCTCCGCAGCCAGCTGTGCTGCGTCAACCACCGGGTGAGGCTCCTAAAAACCCTTTTCTGCCCCAGAAGTCATGTCAGAGGGCAAGAGGAGACCGCAGCAGCTCTGTCTGGCTGTCTCAGTACCTCTCATCAGTGACCGTGGGCGTGAGACACCCTGGACCACAAATGGTGACTCTTTTTCTCCCTCTGCAGATTGAAGAGGGTCTCACCCTGTTGCTGGGGGTGCTCCAGAACCCGGCTCTACAAAAAATCACCAAGGTCTGGTACCTGCTGCGAGCCCACGTCCTTCAGCTGGCGGCCGTCTCCCTGAGCCTCCCCCCTGCCCGCCTCTCGCCAGAGCTCCAGCAGTGGATCTTTGTGCACGGTGAGTTCCCGGGGGATGTTTAAACCCCTCCCGGTGAGCACCAGCCTGGTAGGGGTTGTGGACAAAGCTCCACGCAAACGTTTCACCTCTGGGTTTCTCCAAACCCAGCCCGTTTGGGGCGAGGAGAGGGAATTTGGGGGAGTCGCTCTGTGCTGGGGCTGGGGAGGGTCTTGGTTGGTGCCGATACCCCTGACCGCCCTTGCACAGGGTGGAAGACACCCGAGACTGCTCTCGCCGAAGCCCACAAGCTCTTCCGCAGCATCATCCTCCTGCTGATGGGCAGCGACGTGCTGGGCTGTCAGACGACGTCCGACGTCCAGTTTGTGGATTACGGTGAGCTGGTTGCTCGTGTGGACCAAAACCCGACCGCTCCTCCGGAAAGAGTCGGGCTCCTTGTCTGCCTCTGCAGGAGGAGCAGCTCCGGTCACCTCCCTGTCCTCCCTCGCAGGTGACAACGTGCTGCTGAAGTGGCAAGTGCTGGCTGACATGCTGGCCTGCTCGGAGCACCTCGTGGCTCTCCTCAGCAGGTTGGAGGTGGTGTGTAAAGCCAAAGCCTTCTGCTTGGAGGCTGTCAAGCTGGCCATGAAACTGCAAGCCATCCGGTGGTGAGTTGGCTGTGGAGGTGGGGGGGGACACAGGCTGGCTCTGAGCTTTGGGGGATGCTTGGTTTGGGCTGAGCTGCCCTGCGGCCTCAGGGGACACTGGTGTCTGCGTCCCTTGGTGGGGGACTGACCCCGGTTGGGAGGGTTTTGGCCCCTTCTGAGCTTGGTCTGGAGCGAGCAGCTGCTCTGGGCTGTGGTATCCCGTGAATTCAGCTTGCCAGGTCAGACGTGAGCTTGTTCCTCGCTGCCCACCTCCCGCGCGGCCCTGGGCACGGAGCGGTGGCTGTGTGGGGGGCTCTGAGGGCTGTGTTCACCCCCCCCAGGTGCACTTCTTTCCTGGTGCTGAAGGCCCAGCTGGAGCTGCAGCAGAGAGAGCTGGAGCTGAGCCACTTCGACCTGCAGCAGGCTCTCTTCCTCCTGGAGTCCGACACCGGTGAGTCCCTGCTCCGGGCTCGGAGGAGGGCAGTGGCGGGGCTGAGGTGAGCCCCAAACCTGGGCAGTGCCAGGGACGACCCCTCTTGCCCCCGCTTTTGGGCTGGGGTGAAGGATCTGCCTTGCGCGGATGCTGCCGGAGCAGCCGATCCCCGTTCGGCCAGGAGCGTGCAGAGGTGGGGGGTGACTCTGAGCCGTGTTTTGGCTCAGCGAGCGCCTCCTCCAGCTGATAAAGGCATAGCTGGGGAAAGCAGAAGTGTTGGGTCCGGCTTCCCACACCCCTCCTCAGGCTGGCTGCGGCGGGAGCTGGAGGATGCCGAAATAACCCTCCCCTCCGCCTGCAGAGTTTGAAGACAGCAAGAAGCAGAAAGACCAGATGAAGATCCTGCCCAGGAAGGGCAAATGTGAGGGCAAGAAGCCGCGGAATCCCACTTCTGAGTCCGCTGGGGAAGAAGAGGGTTTCCTGAAGGGCCCTGCGCTGGAGTTCATGGCCACGGTGAGCAGGCTGGAGAAGGCGGATGCTCTCACTGCCTCACCAGAGCTGAAGCCCGAGAGAAAGAAGAGACTGGCCTTCCTCGCCCACCCGGCAGCTTGCCCGTGCTGCCTCTGCTCCGACCTGGCCCACTCGGCTCTCTGCCTGCGCTGGTTCCTCTCCTGTGCCCAGGGCGAGCTGGTAGCGGGCAACACGGCGGAGGGGCTGGGTTTGATCCGTGCCGTGCTGCCGCGCTGTGCC